TTACTCGTAGTGCTTGTGTGCTTGTCTGCTGATGTCAAGTGGCAAGTCTCCAATGTGAATACAGCTGAAAGTTATTAGAAATCCCATGTAAATGCTAAAGCACAGAGTTAGCAATAATTTCAAGGATATTACAGCAGTAGAGAAGAATATAATTTCAGTGTTAATACTAAATAGGTATCATATGTGAAAATAAGCAAATGAAAAACTGTCAAACTGAATTTAAAGACAGTTTCAAGATGATGAAGATCAGGAATATCTAGGTACTATCATCATCAAAGACCCTGCAACAGAGATGTGAGGGAAACAGCTGGTCCATCCCAGTAAGCAGTAGTTCCCTTTTAGGCCTGAATGCAACCCTGCTGCAGCACCTACAGTATATAATCACTGTCTGTTTTTTCATCTGTATAGTTGGCCCCTGAGCAGTAGGGGGCATAGATGGGGGCATAGAGGGCAGGATCTGAATCCTCCTTCAACCCAAAGGGGCACTGTATTTCTACCAAAAGTTCTTTTTCTATTCATTGGTTTTCATATACATTCACTGACTGAATTATTCAGTGTACAGAACCACATGTGTCATATTGGTGTACTCTTCATGTGTTTTACAGGTGGAACTAGAGTTGGGCCAAGTGTCTACGTAAAGGGGAGGTCTAAGTAACCAGCTGTCATCACTAGCTCAAAGAAAGAGACACTAAATGAAGAACTGATGAGAATAAGACAAAGCTTGGAGTAAGCCAATGAGACTAATGCCTGCCTCAATTGTGGCTTGGAAGCTCTTGAAAGACAAAGAGGAAAAACAGGTGAAACATGAACACATGGTTTCTGTTATTTATTTAAGATTTATTTACACTTTCAGTATCTCAGACCATATAGTGTCAAGTGATAGGATGACTTAATGAATAACTGCCTGCATCTTTACATTATGTGGCAGGAGCCATGTTTGCTTACAGTATGTGAGGGGCGCCTGGTTGACTGAGAGTTAAATCTGTAGTGTGGATTTTCTATAATAAATGTTTATTTATGTGGTAATAGATAATTTGAAGGAAACTAATCTAACGATGCCGGTTGTAATGCCAAGAAATGTAAGACTCACATATAGATGGCAATTGTATGAATGAATGTATAAGGAGTGGGTGTTCTCGGCCTCTGCACCGCAACCTACAGTGAACTAGTGTGCTTTAGATGGCACATAATAACCTTAACACAAATGCAAATATCAGCAAAATTGATTTGTTGACAGTTGTAGGACGGTACTGTAGCAATTATTAATCCTCGATACTTAGTATTCGGTGGCATAGCCATTTTTAGGATTGTTCTTGAGGTTGTAGTGCATTATAATGGTGGAAACGTGTACCTGGCTTCCAGACTGAGATTGTTGGTTCGAATTTCTCTCAAGAAATGGATGTTTTTTGTGTTTATTCTGCTTGTTCTGTGTTTGTATTGTGTGTAGGTCGTATAGGTAGTGGCCTTCCGACTGGATGATCTCCTGTCCAGGGAGGCTTACCGACTGGTAAGATACTGAAAAAGTGGCCAAGGTCCACAAGAGCTCTGGAGCCTTAGATAGATGGGTGGAATTGAGTGGAAGTTTTTGATTTAATTAATTAATCCTGTGTTGGAGGTATGTAACACATGAGATTTATTTGTACTGTGCTGAGACTGAACATTTTTGATTTAGTAGCGATGTGTGTATTCTAGAGGCCTGAGACGCATCTCATCCCAGAGATCTGCTATCCTGATGGAGGTGTTTCTTAGTTTTACTCAGCCACAGAACAGTTCCTCAAATTAGGCCCAGCCATTTCCTTTGCAATTTTCATTATACACTAATGATCCATCACTGATTGCTGTAGAGTCTAGCAGAGGGTAAGGTGCAAAGTGTATGATCAGAAGTAGGCAAGGGGCATGAAGCTGGGAAGGGCAGAAGGCCACACACACACACACACACACACATGTGTCAGTGCCAGTCTTCTTCTGTGTTTGAGTATAGCACTCTGTTGAAATGGTAAAGAGTACTGGCATTTTGGAGGACTTTCCTGCCACTTGATATTATCACAGCAGGTGAAATGTGAGCAGCAATCATTGATGAGGAGCGAATGAGTTCAGTCGGAGAGCGACCAGCAAGTTTGTGCAGCACTAAAGGTATTACCAAACTCAGTGTCAGTGGATCATCTTGATTTACCAAACCTGTGGGTTGGTTAATGAACTTATTAGTGCACTCAGATTCAGAATTTGTATAGCTGTATCTGTGCTCTCTATGTTGGCAATCCTGTAAGGGTGGCTGTTCCCAGCGATGAAGGATGTTGAGCTTCTGAGTGAGCAGGAGCTAAGTGGCAACTTCCTCTCTATGGATCCATTAAGAGGCATAATTCAGTAGTATAAGGTTTGTTAATGTTTCACTTGATGATGGCTTCATGAACCAAACCATGTTGCGACATTGTATGACCAGTAAACTCCGTTATGCACAGAGAAATGTGAGCGAGTTGTTTGGTGAATTGTTGTGTTTCACAGAAAAAACAAAACTCATTTATAGCATCTTCCTCTCTCTTCCACTCTGCAGCTGTCTAGCCTGTTCAGGGATCCCCTGTAATGAAAGGTGAGTGTGTTCAGATGCCAGACTCATGTATCAGTTTTTGTTAGAATATACAGTGCCCCAGTTATGCAGGTCACGTTCCCTGAGTGTTTCTGAACCCTTTTCTTAGCAGACATGCCCCTACTCAGTGGTAACTTAATCTCTGCCTCAGACTGATGTGTTGTATAGTGTCTTGGGGTTTGCAGCCCAGTGGAGACCATTAATATCACCCAATTACATGTCGCTGTATGGGATGATAAACTCAAGAACCATAAAATGGAATTTCATGACTTTTTTGTATTTGAGAATTTATGAAGAAGTGTTGTCTTTTTTATTTAGAGGCGGAAATGAATGCAGGACATCACATAATATTGATCTCATGCGTAGCTCACTAAATACGTGTATTTATCAGAGCAAGAAGAGCAAAAGTTGAAGAGAAAAATAAAGTACATGCTTTGAGCCTTTGTGCCCTGAAGGTTAATGTCTCTTGCAATGCAAGTGGGTGTGAGAGTAAAGCATCTTGAATCAGGAGTGTGCTTCAAAGAAATCAGAAATTTTGACCAGTCATAATGTGTGTTGAGGTGATCAGTCGGTGAAGCTGTTTGTATACAATTGTTGTTATATGTTGGCAATCCTGGAGTGGCATGAGTGGAGGGATGCTGTTCCTAGTGAGCAAGTTCCATGCAGTGCCTTCGCCAAAACCGGATATTCAGGAACCCAGGTAGACATGTCGCTGCCATTCTGCAGAACTGGGTGGGGCTTCAACGTTGAAGGACCAGATTCTTACATTTTATCTATTTTTATGAATCCATTTTATATAAATCCATTGACAATGCAGTTATTTAATTTGAATCAACCTGTCGGTGACATGTCATGATCCAAATATATAATTGTTCAGTATAAGCATGATAAATTAAACATGACATTGTGGTCTGTTTAATTTTATTTTGTCAAGTCATGCTGTGTCTGTGGCCCCCATTTTACAGTGATATTATGTATAACAGAACAGGATTCAAAGAACTAAATATAAATTTGTGATTGCACTAGTATGTAAAATTCCCGTTTCTGAAATTTTTTCCAAATTTTCCCTTCTCTGGACTGAAAAATATGTTCTGACATGTGTCTAGTATGGGAACAGTGGTGGAGTTATGTCATCACTAGGATGGCGCTAGATGCTAGTATGGGAACAGCGGTGGAGTTATGTCATCACTAGGATGGCACTAGATGCTAGTATGGGAACAGCGGTGGAGTTTTGTCATCACTAGGATGGCACTAGATGTTAGTATGGGAAGAGCGGTGGAGTTATGTCATCACTAGGATGGCACTAGGTGCTAGTATGGGAACAGCGGTGGAGTTATGTCATCACTAGGATGGCACTAGATGCTAGTATGGGAACAGTGGTGGAGTTATGTCATCACTAGGATGGCACTAGATGCTAGTATGGGAACAGTGGTGGAGTTATGTCATCACTAGGATGGCACTAGATGTTAGTATGGGAAGAGCGGTGGAGTTATGTCATCACTAGGATGGCACTAGATGCTAGTATGGGAACAGCTGTGGAGTTATGTCATCACTAGGATGGCACTAGATGCTAGTATGGGAACAGTGGTGGAGTTATGTCACCACTAGGATGGCACTAGATGCTAGTTCAAGGATACTTCTAGCATTCATATGCTGGTCAGACATTCATACACAGGTCTTGTCTTCTGTGAGGTTACCTACGCAGGGCACAGTGTACTGGGGTTCATATAGTAGATTGACGTATGTAGGATGAATAATGAATTGAAATGGATATGGCAGGAAGTGGGTGTTACCCGATCTCATATACTACCCCTGCCTGGCATCTGTCTGGTGAAGAGGTGTGAGGAAACCCACAGAACCTCAGTCAGGGTAACTGCTGTCCTCTGTCTTGAGTTCGTCAGTACCCAGAGGTGCAGATGTGATAATTCCTCTACAGTGAAACCTGTGTTTAAAAGTTTCATTGGGGAGCAGTAGATTTTAACAGTAAGCCGAATACAGTTTCACTTAACACTGAGATGAGGAAAATTTCTAAATGAAGTAGCATTAAGTGATGCTGTCCTCACAGGGGGACATGTGGGTTCATGTTGCTTGTAGGGCATGGGTACAGCACTCTGTTGGAATGGTAGATTACTGACTGACATTGGGAAGGAACTTGTGACCATTACAGAGAATGATCTTGCTCACTGCAGAGCATCCATCAGAAAGGCCTTCTCTTCAGAGTGAGGCAGACGAACGCATTTCCCCTGATCAAAATATGGTAACATACTTCTGAGCAGTGTTGCTGTGAATACTCGAGACAGATATGAACAATGCCACGACATGACCCAAAAACCTCAGTGCGTATAACATTGGAGCTGGTAGTGATGCACGGGAACATGCACTGCATCATCCAGGTGGACGTCGTACAGATGATAATACATGCTAATGTGTTTCAAAGATGTGAGCAGCGTCTCCATGTCACATCTACAGCACACTTGAATGCACTTCACCCATGGGCTGTACCGACATCAGCCAGTGATGATGTTATAACAACAGTCTAGGAAATAGGTATCGCACAATAACGCTGACCATCCCAACTTAGGGTCCTCAGAGTACTTCATGCTGATCAGTTGCATCTGTACCACTGCTTGTGGAGATGTCGTCTGTGTTCATAGGATGCAATCCTGTAAATGGCTACAACACTAGCACACTGCAGATGAGCTCACTTCACATAACATTCTGTGGACAGATGAAGCAAGTTTGTGCAGCATCCACGTCAGGCATGAGATAATTGTCGTGGACATTGTTGTGGTGCCCCATCTCCTGCCTGAAGATGTACCTCTAGCTGTAAGGCACAAAGGTCATGGTTTTAGCACAGGAGTTTCAGGGCACTGGGCATGGAGGCCTCCTTGGTTGCAGGATCCTCTGGTGGAAAGACTTCAAGCAGCTGTAACAGTGGTCGATGCCAGCATGTTAGGGTGTACTGGAGAGTAACCGTGCCATGCACTGATTGGAACACCTTTTGTGACTACTGAGCAGCCCATGGATTGATCATACAATAGCTTGTGCCACTTGACAGTGAAGTATATCTTGAAAGCTAAACCTCACAGGACACATGTTGTACAATGTATCTGACGTTCTTCTTTTAGTTTCAGCCTGCATAGTGTGTTCAGATTTACAGTTTGTAAAGCCCTGCACGACCGTTACAGTATATTGACAGTTCGGGAGCTGTGTCAGTGAAGAAAGTCTGTTGAGTTTGTGGGTGAGCAAGGATTATGCAGCATCTGCCTCTTCAGTTGTGCACCATCTACAAGGAGCCCCCCGTGCCGTGGGTGTCATCTTACATTCACTCTTCTACACCAGCAATTTGGCCCTTGTTTGGTAGATATAGTGAAATGTAATTTCTACAGTGCAATATAAACTTGATAAATTTTATATCTCATAAATCCCACCCCCCAGTTCAGCACTGTACATGGAGGACTCCAGAACCCCTACTCCAGGCAGCTGGATATGTGTAACACAACCTTGTATGCAGGTGGTGAAGGGAGGGTAGGGTTTCAGGTAGTTAGTATAGCAGCATATGTTTGGTCTCGTCTGGAAAGTCATGACACAAGATTAGTCAATGGCTTGCGCTGTCTAACAGGATATGAATGATATTCCTGTTTTAATATTATACAGTCGAAGCTCGCTTAATGAGCAAAACAAATCATAAAAAAATGACTCGCTTAACGAGCGATGTTTCGCATAACAAGTCACAAGAGGGGAAGTCCCAGATTGTGCACTTGCTACATCAGTCTGTGTTTAGCACTCCTCCTGCTAGCATCTTAGTGTCGCTTGTGATCACACATTCTTCCAAACTTGTGTTCAGACATATTATTTGTGATTTTTTTTTTACAAAGTTTAATAACCCTTGCAAAAATGTCCCCGAAGAAAAAGCCAGAAAAAGACAGCCATAAGAGAATAAAAATAACTGTAGAAATGAAACGTAAAATCACTGAAAAGCGACAACGAGGTGTGAGCATGGCTGATCTAGCACACACATACAATCGGTCTGCATCAACAATTTGCACAATTTGGAATTGCATTGTGTTTCACAGCAAGAAGTTGTGGAGGAGAGTATGTCAGAGGAGGAGGAGGAGGAGGTAACAGCAAAACAAAAATCTTCTGATGCAATAAGAGAAATGCTGAAAGCATGGGAAACTGTTGCATCATACACTGAGAAGCATCACCCTAATAAGGCAGTGGTTATGTGCACTACAAATTTATTTAATGATAATGCTGTTTTCACCAAATTTTGAAGCGTCGGCAAAAACAAATGTCTCTAGACAGCTTTCTAGTAGAAAATAATTAGATATGTATCATAAATAATAAACTAATTATTTCGATTTTTTTTTTGTTTTCTGCAAATCGAATTCGCATTCCAGGTTGGTTTATTCCGCATAGAAGAAAAGATGATGATGATACACGCTCCTTAACAATGTATATATAATTTTCTTTGAATAAATGTTATACATAAAATTTTTTTAGTATTTTTTTTCGGCATGGAACACATTATCGTATTTTAC